ATTATTAAACAACTTTGCTAAATATATTTTAGGATTTCAGAGCTTAAAAGCCAGTAAATGTTATCATTTGAAAAAGTTAATACTTTTGAATAAAGAAATACACCATTAAAGAATGTGTATGAGCATTGGAGTAATATATTTTTAAATGAATCAAGGTTATTTTGTGAAAGAGTATCTTACTCCCGATGTTATAATTAGGAAAAAAAATCAGGTAGGCTTTTGGGTGTTTTTCAGATGCAGTTACATAAATAAATGCATTTATCTAACATTTTCAGCTGTATAAAACAATGCAGTGTTATTCTGAGTAATTTATTGTTAGGTAGAAAACATGTGTGGAGTTTAAAAATGTATAGTTAAGGTATTCAGGGAAAAAAGAAAACACTGTTGTGTAGATTTTGATGTGTTTAGATGTTTTGGTCACGTAATGTTCAAATTAATGAGAAGTAGCATTCTAAACACCTTACCAACTTGAAAAATAAAAATACCATTTTTAAAGCATCCTTAATTTAACAGAAGTGCGAGTTTCAGGAAAATGCTGCTATGTTACATCCTGAAACTGCTGAGCCTTTCCCTATTCACAGCTAAGGGAAACGGATAGAAGATGCGTACCAAGAAATATCTCGACCCCATTTTTTCTTCAAGAAATAATTAGAGAGCGCTCTTTTGGGATGTGAGCTCCAGCTCTTACTCTCAGAGAAACTTTAAGTAAACCCAGGTAGCAACTGCCCAGAGCCGGTGTCCCCATCTTTAGTTGAAGAGTGAGGGATTTGTATTAACCAAGCTGGAAGCCAGTGGTAGGCGCATGGAATGTGTTGTGTCACTTCCCACGTTGGGCTTTGGAGAAGGAGGTTTGCAGGGGTGTCATCGGCTGTTTGGGTGCTCGATGCCAGGGTTCCTGTTACAGCAAATTGTGGGCGTAAGTCACTGAGCGATGACCGTCCCGTCCTGCCCAGTTTGCTTACAGGGGTGGGGAATCTGATAAAGAAGAGGCAGAAACAGTGAGCTACAGAAATGTGAAAAATTCCGCATAGCAGGCAATCACTACATTTTTCAGTACTGAGAAATAATTTGGCACGTTCTGTACAGGTTTCGCAGAAAAATGTTCAGCTCTCAGTGAAGCTATTTTCACCGTAAGCTGTCATTTAGCTGCCAGCCTTCTAAATCTTAAACAGAATCTGGTGAGATACGTAGATGCACGCTTAGCTCTGCACAGATGTGGTTTGTCGTAAGAAAAAACCCCACGGTTTGTTTTACTGGAATTTTATGTGAAGTTTTCATGTTGTTACAGCACCACGAGAAGAAAGCCATGTAAAAACCCTCCAGTTCCCCACCCGTTTTGCAGTTGGAACGTGTCCGCACACAAATACCCTTTTTTTTTTGCATATGCACCGTCACCCCGGAGTTTTAGGAGTTCACCCTGAAGATCTGCTCGCCGCATTAAAAGCGTGAGGAAAAGCAGCCTCGTACTGTGCTCGTCTCGGAGAGCGTTTGCCCTTCCCCGGGGTCCCTCCCCTCGCGTTACTTGGATTCTCCTTGCTCTGCTACAGAGCTATGCGGGGCTGTTGGACACTGTATTTTAACACTGTATTTTAATAATTCTATTATTAAGCCCATATTAGAAATACCCCAGTCACGTATTGGAAGCCAGCCGTGTTTCAGGGGCCTGTGGAATTTGTTTTCCAGTCTTCAAAATTTTACAGGCCTTTTTAGGATGCTAACCAGTATGTGATTACTTTTAAGAATTCAGCATGCTCGTGGATAATCTTTATCACGTTTAGAGTACCTGTTGATTTTCAGATTCTCTTTACTTTGCGCTGCATTGGCATAGAACTGCTGCAAATATATTTCATTATCAGTTTTCCCTATAACACCTGCAACATACAAAGTTATAATAAAATTAAATAATCCTCTGGCGTTTACCACCTTCGGAAGAAAATAATTTTACTCATAAAGAAAAGGTTTTCCATTTCTTCGCACTTTCTTGGAGGTCACAGAGATCTTTGGAGTAGGGAGAACCGTGTTACAGTATTTGACCTGAAAAGAGATCAAAGTGAGAATGAGTGCTCAAATTGTGAGGTTTTGTATGAGAAATATCTTTTTGGGTAGAATTGTGAGGTTTTGTATGAGAAATATCTTTCTGGGTATTTGTTTCATACAATATGCAGCAAAATATCTGGGGGTCTTGATTCAGGTCTTTGGTTTGTAGGTGCAACATAACCCCAAAACAGTGAGTCCAACTCCTCACACCAAAAGGATAATGTAAATAATACCAATCATTAAACGCACTTTTCTCAAAACCAACAGCTCTGTTCAGCACTGAAATTCAGAATTGTAAGACTACGCTTTGATGAGAAAAAGCAGATGTCCTGAAAGCAGCATCAGGTGTATGTTTGTGAAGACATTCACTCAAAAAATTCATACTTACGGTGCTGCCTGCAAATACTATAAATAATAGCAGAGCTTGGTATTTCAGAGAGATGGTTTCCTCATGAGTTCACACATTGTTTTGAAAAAAAGTAGATTGTAGCTTGTTGTTACGGAACAAAATGACTACATACCGGGAAGGTGGGGTGATCCGTTACTAGTTTCTTCGTTCCCGAAAGCGTGTGTATTTTTTTAAGCCCTACATTCAATTTCAGTCCCTTTGTGCTGGTCATTTATTCGGCTCAGTGCTGGTTTTCCCTCTGACCAGATCTGCCTTGTACCGCTTGTAGCCGACGTTTTTCTGGTCGGGCTGTTGTTACAGAGCTTTTCTTGAGTCGCGTGGCTGCCCGTGCAGTAGCAGCGGGCTGGGGAATATCAGCTTTAATTAGTCTATCCCACTTCTCACGGAGGGAAGGAGTGCGGGTGGGTGATCAGAAGAGAGCCCCGACACAGAATAGCCGGTTTCCTGCTGTACTCTTATTCTGACCATAATGACTTGGTACGCCGTTGACGCCAGGAGGGAACACGCTGTTAAACCGCCGACGGATTTTGGTGCGATAGCGTCGTCTTGGCAAAATTGGCATTTTAATTGGCGTGGCTCTAGGACAGTTTTTAGAGAACCGTGTGCGGGGAACGGGCAAGCTGTTCCCCTTGGGGGGTGAATTCTCAGGGGGAAGGGGGGGGAAGCTGGCCGGAGGCGTTCCTGCCCTCGGGGAGACTTGTCCCCAAAACGGGTCGGACAAAGCTCGCGCTGGTTGGGGCTGGCTCGGGGGGAGTGGCAAAAAGAATGATCTTTGCGTCCTCAAAGTAGCTCATGAAGTTGCATTTTTAAGACATTTGCTTTGACTTTTGGGGCTGTTCTATATCTTTTATGGAAGACTATGTGAATGCTTATTGAAAACAAGGAGAGCAATCTACATTTACCCAAACAGCGGTGGGCAGGGTCCCCTGATTGTGAGCCCGTAGGCACAGACACATCGTCCTTTTGTTTGTGTCAGGAAAGCGCTTAATACTTCCAACTGTGCTTAGCACTTCACAGACCCAAATGCAATTAACTGATGATGATAAACACTAAGAGCAGCTAGGCACCTGTACCTCCTGGTGCGAAATGAAGGATCATTCCAGCTGATCATCGTTTTTTAAAGTGGGAACTCTTCAGTAGTTTTCTGTGAAAGTCGTATAATAAAACTCTTCAGCAACTGTACCAGTCAGAGTGTGAAATAGCTAGCAAAATTGCAGCCATTCTCAAGCAAATCTGTATTCATAAAATCGTATAGTTGTTTAGAATAGCTGTCGCTTGATGTGGCAAATTTCATACACAGCACTTTGATCTGTATGGCATTAATGTGCCAAAGTTTTAAAAATAAACTGTAGATTTCAAGTATCAGCTTGATTTATGTTTACTGTTAAGAATTCAAAGCAAATATTTTATATAGTCTCAAAAGCTGCATTTCCAGTTGCCAAAGATTAGTAACTGTTAATGAATACCAGTAAGCTGACAACTTGTAAAGAGATTATAAAAGTAGAAAGCTAATTATGTAAACAGCATTATTTTGGAAATATGTTAGTCCTGGTTCTAAAAAAACGACTTTTGTAGGGAATGAATATTACTGTAATTTCTTTCAATTTCTGTGAATTTCTTAAGTTCTTGATTGCTAATAAACCAGTGATTGTCTAATGATTGGCAGAGCTGTAGAACTCCATGCTTTACTCGGGAATGCTCTTTAATTTGCTCTCTCTCTCTCAACACTGGCTAGTGAAACAGCGTTAGAAACTGTTTGCTGAGGCATTCCACAGTCACTGTTAAATAGGACTTTGTAAAGTGTAGAGGAAATGCACTTTTATTTTCTCCTCTAGATAAAGGGTACGCTCTGGTTCTTCACTGGTAGCACCCTGATGTTGTTAGGTCCTTTTGAAAGCACGAGTCGCTTTACGTGAGGTTGCATACAGGCGTTGATTTTTGTAGCAGCAACATAGCTACTCCAAAAGAAAAAAAGCCAGTATTCCTCAGTATGGGCTCCAAAATGGTGAAATCGTGTTTCCTTTTCATATTACGCTAGTTCTCCTCTGCTGCACGTGATGAAAGATACTCGAACTCTCTGGTGGATTGGCAGCAGATGCTCCTCATCTGGAGCCATTTACATTTTCTTTTCTTCCCTGAAGCACTAACTTTCACAAGAATAACCTTTTGAATAGTATGGGGCTGCCTCATCAAATATGGTTGTGTGATGTATTGACTTAGTGCACTCAAAATGTCAAGGATATGTATATTGATTTTTGTACCATTCATGCATACTGAACAAATACCACTGGACTAGGAAAGCTGCTGGGTTTGGGTTTTTTGTCTTTCTGTGCTGAAGACCGTGTTTTTTCCACCGTTGTCCAGCTCTTTTGGAGAGTTACTTTGCCCTGCCCGCTTCAAGCTCATGGGACATCCTCATGGGCACAGCCAGACCGGGGCTGTCTCTGAACACGACTGTGCCAACTCCAGTTCTCTGACTCTTTTATTATCTCTGGATGATCTTTTTAATGGGTTACAGAAGGTGAGAATTCTTTGTTTTTCTTGTTCTTCCCAGGGGACATGAGTTTTGGGTGGATTTGAATGTTATGAAATTACAAGAAACTGTTGAGTTTGACCAAATGCGGCGGCTGTCTACACCTTCCTGCCCCAGCTCCAGCTCCAACTACTACACGGTCTGGAAATACTTCTGCAGGGACCACTTTGGCTGGAGAGAATACTCCGAGGTATTTAACGTGTTCCAGAATCCTGCTTTGGGGTTGTAATCCAAAACACTATCTACAGTATATACTATAAACTTTATATACATTTTTAGTCTGTTTCCTCTTTGAACAATCAGGAGAGCTACTCAGAGTTGTTGTGGAGGAAGTAATCAAGAAGGTGAGTGTTGAACTGAAAGAGCAATAAAAGGAGAACTCTTCTCTGCTGGACTGCACCTTGAATTATCCCTGAAAACATCAGAGGCACAGAGGCTGACCAAACTGTCAAATCTGAGAGCGAACTGGCCCATGTCAGTACCAAGAAAGTCCCTTCTAATCCCTAGAAATCTGGTTGTAAGACAGGAGGGACAGCTTTCTGCAGCCTTTTTAACACCTTTGCAGTTTTTAATTTACTTTCCTGTCCCCGAAAATAGCGCAGCACAGACTGTGAGCCTCCAGAGTCGGGGCCCAGCCCGTGGAATACTTCATTCGCTTGGTTCAAGTAAGCTCTCCCATAAGCCTTGTAAATACTGGTGGTAGTTAAGAGCTCATCTTTGGCTGGCCAGAGCTGTACAAAACCTCATCGGTGTCTTACAGCTTTGGCAGTACCAGAAACACCTCCACCAGTGTAAATCAGATCACCTTCATCTTTTTCATGCGTCACGCTGATGCTATAAACGCGGTAGGAAGCTTAAGGCAGAGCCCTGCGTACAGTTTGGGCCTTTGCAATTGGGAAAAAAAAAAAAAAAAATGCAAGCACTGGAGAGAGTCTGGAAGAAAGCACCACAAACAACAAGAAGTTCAGGATGTTTGACCTGCGAGGAGAAGTTAAAAAAAATGGGTTTCTCAAGCGTAGAAAAGGGAAAAAAAAAAAAAAAAAAGAGAATGTATTAATGTATAAAAGATTGTTCGACAGCAGACTTCAGGTTTTCACATTCAGTGGGCGAAACCAAAAAGTAAGTAATTTGTGGCAAGGGGATTTTAGGTTAGATATCGGGAATAACATTTGACATGTAAAAATGAGATGGCACTGGTGACGTAGGAAAGCCGTGAAACCTGCGTTGTTGGCAGATCTTACAAACAGGTGAAGGAACATTGTTCAGCGCTCTAAAGGTACCTGTGCCTCGGAGCAGGGGAAGCAGGGGAGGGGGGAAAGGAGCAGAGAGAGGGATTCTTTGAGGTCTCTGGCAAAAATATTAATTTTGGAAGGTGTGATTTATCATGTGTCTGGTGTTGTTTTCTTAATTTTCTTGAAACAGCCTGTTGTAAGATTGATAGAAGCAGCCACCTGCCGGGGTCTGAAAGAGGTTCGGTTTGTTACCTGGCATAATCAGTATATCTTAAACATCAAAGATGGATTCCAGCAAAATGCGTGTTACAGAAGAGAAATCAAGAGGAGACCGCTGCTTCGCTCATGCATTGTGCTGATGCCGTTTTTACAGTACGTATCCCAGCAGAAGGGAAACTCTGCATTTGATCTCCAGGTTGGTCTGTCCGTGAGAATTGTGTTCCTTAAGATGTGGCAAGGAAACAGGCACCGCTGGGTAGAAAAATCAGAAGCAATAATAAAAATCCTCAGTCACATCGGCAGCTCTCGCTTGTCGTTTTTCAAGATAAATATTATCCGAGGAACTCCTTTCTGCTAGGCTGTTGGTTATTTAAAGATTATAATGTACCTTGTGGATTGCAGAACGTCAGCAGCACCGCTGTACCTCAAGCTTCCCAAAGTATTGTCCAGCTTTTAGCATCTCGCCAGCTATAGCGATTGCCAGGCTATCAGTTCTAGGGCCCATAAAAAGGAGCGTTCAGAAACGTTTTCTACTTTTCGAGCACAATTAAAGCATGCCCTGTTTTTATTGTCGTCTCAACTGGGGGTGAACACGCTCGCCCATCAAAGGCAGAGCGAGGAAAGTGTTGCACCGTAGTCATTTTTGATTACGGCTCATAAAAATGCCATTTTTGTGATCTCACCAGCACAGCTGGAAACATTATTGTCGGAGTTCCGTAGTTAGGCCCGTATTGGCCTGTTAGCAAAGGGGTGGAAGTCATTAGCCTGACCGGCAGCTTGGCACGCCGGGCCAGCCAAAGGAGCTTGAACTGCTGCAGGAGGGCTCGAGTGCTCGTTAGCTCCCAGAGTCGTTACCGCAGCTAATTGCGAGGCGAACGCGAATTTGGTCAGGGCCTCAAAACACGTGGTCTCAGAAACATCTTTAGAGACGGTTTTACAGGAAGGAAACCCAAAATTATTGAAGAGGTACTGGGAGGATGCAGGTAGAAAGACCAAGCGTGGGCTTTCTGCTTATAGCAACTCTGTCGTCCTAATGAAAAATAAGGATTTGAGGTATTCTCCTGGCATTTTGCTACCAGTGACTGTTTTATTACAGTGCAAGTCTAGAATTTTGAGATATTCTAAAATTATGCAGTTCCCACTAATTTTTGTGGAGTCTTGAGGGTTCCACAGTCGTGAAGGCTTGACCGTAACTATTCATGACACCTACCAAATCTATAAACTAAGCTCTGAAATTTCCGTTGTTCTGCAGTAAATCTCATTCTTATTTTCTTCATCTGAAGACCTCGTAATGCTTACTTCAAAGTATACCAATCCTTAGCAAGGAACAAAAGAGTATTTGCCATATTTATGAGAGCTGTCCTTAAGAAGTCAGTACTTGCCTCCACTTAGCACACAATGCTACCTGAGATTTTTTATTTCCCTCCCCTCTCACCTGCTTAAATGTCTGCAAAAGCTGGGAGAGAATTCTTGAATAGAAACTGTGGGAAGTGGGTGATAATGGTTGACAAATGTTGACTTTTTAATGGCTTCCCTTGTATAATAAATGCTTACAAGTAGTTCGCACTAGTCAGAAGACATGAACAGAGTACACCAAAGGACTGCAGAGTTTTTATTGTGTTTGATGTCGTACTCATTAAACCGTAACTTACTACTAATCTGTGCTTGGTCTTCCAGTCCAAGTGCGAGGGAATGAGGTTCTACAGCAATATTTTTTGCCCATTGACTTGAGGAAGGAAAAAAAACAAAACCAACTTTAATGCACGCTTGTAATATTGCAGACTGCTATTTTAATAATCATTCTTAGAAAAATCCATCTTCTGGGTTTCTGTTAAACTATTAATAAACAGTGAGAAGAATTTTGAGTTGAGTCAAGTCCATGCAAATAAAGCAAGGTCTCTTTTTAGCTTTGAAGAGCAGGTGAAAGCCACATGAACGCTTTTTTAAAGAGCATGTCTGCTCTGAAAAGTGTGAACGCTGTTAACAGTTTACCGTCTCTCTCATCCAAATCAAACGTATCAATTTAAAAATAGACTTTTTTTCCCCGCAACGTTTTTTCTAGACCGGAAAAGCTCAACCTGCAATCAGAAAATCAGTTTACATTTTTTCTGGGTCACACAAAAAATCGCAGGCAGTTCCTTCAGGCTCATATTTCACTAGCATTAAATATTCTGCAAGGCAACCTTAACTGACATGTGCGTAGGTGAGATGTGGATAGCAGTGTAGTTCTTATTCATCTGGATAATTCTGTTGGCTCTGCAGAGGAAGGCAGGCTAACGAGCAGGGACAATCAGCAGTGGCTCCGGGATGTTTTTCCAGTGCTCCTGGAGAACAGATTGCGCGGTGCCGCGGCGTTCCAGGCAGGATTTGGCCATGGGTGCTGTCACACCTCAGCGCGTGGATACACGAAGGATTCGCGTTCCCCATTCCCTCCCTGTCGGAACAGGTTTTCCCCTTCTGCTTTGGCAAGGGACGTCTTACCAGAACACAAGTGACCTGAGAAATTTCAGGAACTTTAATGTTCATTAAACTTGCATGAAATTGAATGGCATTTAATTGAAGGTCATCCGTGGGGTTTAGAGACCGGATTCACCTCGTGGCTTTCCAGCCAGACAGTGGGTCCCTGTAGCTTCGTAGTCTTTCCTGACAAGAGCACCTCACCCGTTTGCATTCATTGTGGGTTGGTGCTGGGGTCAACAGCAGCTTTTCCTATAAAATTACTTAGGTAAAATACTCATCTGGTGAAATTTGGAGATAGTTCCATATATTCTTGCCTCTGAAAGGGAACCTCACCAGCTTGCAGGAGCTGAAGAGCTGTGGACTTACTGTCAGTGAAAACCAGAGCCTGAACCTGCAAGCTGTACGTGCTCAAAGTCTTTTCACTGACGTAAGCGGGAGAACTCCAGTAAGTAAGGCTTATTCAGTTGAGTAAGGCTGGCTCGTTCAGATTATAATCAGGTGAACACAAGCCACAAATGCCGCGCTCTCTGTCTAAACTTAGCAGCTTCAAGAGTGTGAAATTTTCCACGGAGGTGCAGGTATTTATTAAGAGCACACCACTACTGGTGTCCGTTCTTTTTCTGGCATCCGTGCCGCTTCTCTGCCGCGGCCGCTGCGGGCAGCAGCCGCCCTCCTTCCCCCCCCCCCCGGCTTCTTTACCTGGCGGCAGTCCCAAGAGGAGGGGCTGGTCTGTCGCATGAAAATAAGAAACTGCGAATGCAAATCTACATCTGGCCTGTGCAAATGAAAAGCAGAGAGCCTTCCTCGGCACGGGGCTGGGTAGCGCTGAAAACACAGCATCCCCTCTTCTACACAGCGCAGTGAAATATCGGCGAGTTTTGCCTATAAAATGTTGTCAGTTGGGGTTATTCATTATTCATGCTGTACGAGAAAGCGCGTGTTTCTGCTCCTTGGGTTGTACTCTGAGGAAATCAGGTCAAATGCTGCCACGTTATTAATCTTTTCTTATTCCGTACGTCTTGCTCACCATGTTAAAATCCTAATTCTTTATAGCTGGCATACCGAATGATTGCATTTGGTAGCATGCTGCCTGTCTGTGGTTTATAACCCTGCCCCAAAATGTGAAAAATTACAGTAGTAGGCTTTTAAACACGCCCAAGCAGTAAGATTTCCCTACGTGGAACAGCATCCCTGAAAGTCAAGATTTTGTTGTTAGTGTGGTTGGAGGAGTTATTAATACAGCAGAAAGAGCTGGCATGTTTGCTCCAAACAAGCATTAAAGATACGGAAATTGTTACAGAACTGAAGAGTAGCACTTGCTTAAGATACGTTGGTGATGGAATAAATGTGATGAGAAGCTCTTCTGGCTGTGAATGTTTAAGTACAAACCTTTTCTCCTTCCCCAACTAGGACCTTAGGTGGCAACTCTGCAGTGCCCCCTCTGTCAGCTGAACCAGCTTCCTCACATCTCTTATCTCCAGCTGCTGTTACCTCTCCCAACTTCTACCCTGACACCTGGATTAGTATGGATCCAGCTCAGGACTTCGTCCAAGTGCCTGTTCTGAAGGAAGATAAAAGCTATAGAACCATTTATAACCTGTTTCACAAGACTGTGCCAGAGACCAAATACAAAATTTTGAAAATTTTGAGAGTGCAAAATCAGTTTCTTTGGGAGAAATATAAAAGGTAAGATTATGCAAATGCCATTCTTTCGCAACAGTGGGAAAATACTTTAAGATATGTCATTTGGGCTGCAAAATATAAATTGATCATTAAATAGAATACATAAACTCCAGATTTTCTGAAGGAGCATCTTCAGTTGAGCAACGTTCTCTGAAAAGTATCTTACCCTGAAATTTCCCCTGTAACAGGTTTAATATACTGTCTGCTGATAACTTCTGTAAAATGTATCCTCACAGAAACCTCAAAGTCAATCTAGGATGTCTAGTTGAAAAATCTTTCGGTTCACTTTCAGGCCGAACTAGGAGGAATTGTTTCCATGGAATAATCTCTGTACGGAAGATAGCCATTAGTGCCCTGCTCCCCAGAACACGGCGGCCCGGGCTCCGGCAGCGGCCTTGCAAAGACAAAATCCCATCCCAGTCGGTCCCATTCAAACCAGAGACGCTGTGTCTGAAGGTCACCGTCCACTGGCCACCTTGTAGCTGAGACAGAATTAGATTTGTGGATTCTCTCTCCCTCCTCAAGCAATGTGGGATCTGGGGAGAAGTCGAGGGATGGGCTGCGTGAGCAGAGACTTCCTGACAGTCTTTGTGCTGGTCTAGAGCATCTCCCCCCCCCCTCCCCAGTCTCACAGTGATTCCTCTCTGTGGCCTCTTCGGAAGCTGTAGATGGATTTACGTTTTGCACAGCTGTTGTTTCCCCTTCGAGAAAGATTTCCTTCCGCATCCAAGGTGAAATGCAGGCAAAGATAAGCAGGCACTTCTCAAGGCGCTTTGCCTTGGCTGCTGTGCAGGTGAGAGAGCTCTGCCTCCATCAGCATCAGCTCAGGACCTTTCAAAAACACTTATTTCACACAAAAGCCTTATGCGAAGGTGGAAGACCCACTCTGCTTATCTGTACAGAAATGTTTTCAGATCTCCTCTTACAGCTCTACTATTCCAGAGGACAGTATTGATGCTTTAAGAGCTGTAGCGAAAACTGCTTTTCCCTTGCGGGTCTGCAGTGAATACTCACCTTCACTTTCCGTTTTCTGTTCCAGGAAAAAGGAATATATGTCAAAAAAAATGACTGGGCTTGACAGGATAATGAACGAAAGGCATTTGTTCCATGGCACCTCCCAGGACGTGGTGGATGGAATCTGCAAGCACAACTTCGACCCGCGCGTCTGCGGGAAGCATGCCACCATGTTTGGGCAGGGCAGTTACTTTGCCAGAAAGGCAAGTTACTCCCATAACTTTTCCAAAAGGTCACCCAGAGGCGTTCATTACATGTTCCTGGCAAAAGTACTGACGGGAAGGTACACGGTGGGAAACCACACCATGAGGAGACCTCCACCGGTCAACCCCGGCAGCATTACCAGCGACCTCTATGACTCTTGTGTGGACAATTACTTTGAGCCTCAGATTTTTGTCATTTTTAACGATGATCAGAGCTACCCTTATTTCATCATCCAATACGAAGAAGTTAGCAACACTGTCTCCATTTGAAAACTTGTGCTGCTAAATTATTAATTGTAATAAACTCTCTTATCTCGCATTGGTAGCAGTCTTGGGGGGACAAGAAAAAGAAAAAAAAAATTGGACGTTGCAGAACTGATTAAATTACTTGCTTGGAAGGAACTAAATCTCAAAATGTAGAAAAGAAGATCTGAAGTGACCAATTGTGCACTTGCTGTTTGATTATGTATGTGCAAATTGTAAATATTTTTCCATTGTTTATAGTTGAAAATCTGTGCCTTTTGTTATAAAACACTGTTTATTTATGTTAGTAAATATTCATGTTTAAAAATGTGTGTGTGTGTGTGAATTTCAGTTGCCTTCTGCGCATATGAGAGTGGCTAGAAAATTGCTTATGCCCTGATCTCGAAATCTTAAGGATGGCCAATTCTAGATCATCAGAACCAGGTAATTTTCATCCCAAGTACATCGAACACGAGACTCTCCCAACCACGACTTTTTATTACTCTATTTCAGAAAGACTGGGAGAGATCACAAAGTGAACGTCCTGCTCGTACTGGGGATTATTGAACAGGCCAACACGAAGGCATCATTTGCTAAAATTAGCCCGAAGTAACATTAGGAAGAGGTTAGTACGGCGGGTTTCAAGCTGGATGGCTTCCCAGCAGGTCAGGGGGTAAACTGGTGGTGCTGGGGGAGGGAAAGCCACCCGGCCAAAAGCCAGCGGGCCTGTGCCGTGGAGCCCGGGCCCGTCCCCGTGCAGGAGGGTAGCTCTGGGGAACGGGTTCCTTGGAAAAGAAACCCCAAACAAAGCCTCTTCCTGAGGCGGTTTTAAATTTGATCGAAGGATGAAAAGTTGCGTTCGTGTCCCTTACAGAGGCTGTCGTGAAATTAATTTTTTCAATGAGCGATACGTTAAAATAATCGTCAGCACGTAATCCTCATTTAATCAGGGTGTTTTTTGTGTTTTCCAGGCAGCCATGCCTGGCTCTTGGGTATCTTTAGCAGTGGTATGGGGAAAAAAAGCAGAATTAAGTGGCTGGTGTTTGCAGCTGGCCCAAACCAGGGGGGGGTGGGACTGGCTGGGGGGTCACTCCCGGCCCCCCAACTCTTCCGGACGACGTAGTTGTGTCTCCAAGGTGGGGGAAGAGGCTGGAGCAGAGACTCATCCCGGGGGGAGGCGGCAGTAACGCCGCGGGCTCCCGGCCGCCACGCCGCACCTTCCCCTGGAGCTGCCGAAACCGCGGCGCGAGGGCTCGCGATCTTTATTAAAAACAAAAAAAAAAAAACCAAAACAAAACCAAAACCAAACCAAAAAAAAAAAAAAAAAGGCAAAACAAACAGGGATTAGAATCCTTTCAGAGCTCCTCTCCGGGTCATCTCCGCAGCGCCGAGGCACAGCAGGGCCCCAACCCCCCCGGAGATGCCCTGTCCTCGTTAGGATTTTTAGGGAGTGCTACGTATCTCGTTAGAGAAGCTACCCCTGCTTTATCCACGCAGGTGCAGCCCCAGCAGCAGCAGCTCTGGAGGAGCTCTGCAGTGGGAAAGCATCTCCCAACTCAGCACCCTCCCAACTTTCTTGAGCCGAGCCTGGAGCTGCGCTGCTGTGGTAACCTGCCGGGTACCCAGCTCCTCTCCGCGGCCTGATAAAGACGTGTTTTGCCACGGGATGAAATTATTTACTCCCACCAGCACTCCAGCTTGTTTCCCTCCCGCTGGTTTGCTCCTCGTTACCTGGAGGACGTCAGACCAGCTGGGAGGTGAGAGGAGGGGGGTGATCCAAGCAGCTGGTTCCACTCGTCTCCTAATCTGAGGCCCTTGGCAGCGCCGGGGCGAGCTCAAATTTGAGAGGGCTGAGCTTGGAGGAGGGGACGGCGGCGTGGCGGGATGGGAGCTACCGGCTGGGTCCTGGCTGTAGCTCTCCTCCCCGGGAGATGGCTCCGGAAAGGTAAGGTGGCCTGGGGAGGACGGGACTGGGGCTGATGGTGAAGTAAAGCTGAGCTTATCTCTTTTGCAAAAGCTGCTAAATCTTCCGGCTTGCGCTCCCTTCTTTCCCGTGATAACCAGGCTTTCCTGCAGCAGCCAGAGTCTTGCTGCTGGGAGGCGGCGGAGGGTTTGCTCCATCCATAGTGGAATTGGGGTAGAAAGGGGAAACTCCAAGCCCGCAGAGCCTCGCTGGCGAGCACCGCTGCTGCCCGCGGCCGGGGGGGGACGCTTGGGCCCTGCCCCCAACTTGGTGGGAGCGTGGGGCAGCGTCTTGGGGGGCAACTGGGGCTGGGAGCCGCTCCGGGGAAATCAGGTGTCATTTTTCCTTAGACGTCATAATGGGTTTTTTGGGGACCTTCTCCTCCCCGCTGCCAGTTTGCTCCAGCCCGTGGGGTGCTCCCGCTACCCACCGATTGCTCCCGGGATGGTTTTCCTGAGCTTTCCCCCCCTTTTCAGACTTTCCTCACCCCAGCACGTTGAAACGGCTGCGGGGATCGGTGACGACGAGCTCCGGCAACGCGTTGCTGCTGATGTAGGATTGAAAATATTTACGTTGTTTCCATACCGACCCGCCTCTGAGCGTCCGAACCATCCGGCAAAGCCTTATCAAATTAGCAGCCCCTCAGCACGCGGTGCACAGTGACGTGGTCCTGCGGGGAGGGCACGGGACCCCATTTCCCCTTCGGTGCCCGCGTAGCTCTGGCCCCGTAGCTCATTTCGGTGCCGCCGGCCGGGCACGGCGCCGTGCTGGCCAAAATTCAGCACAACCGGTCCACAGCGGTGGAGGGAGGGGCAGGGGTGTGCCGCATCACCACGTGCACATCGAGGACCCGCCGTTGTCCACCCCGGGGCTAGCAGAGGGTCGCTCCTGGCTTCCAACCTGCCCCGGGGCCGGACCCGTGCAGGAGCCGGGGGGCCATCGGAGCAGAGCGTGCCCCTAATCACCCAGCTGGCTGTTAATCGCTGCCTCCGGGCACCATCGCCGCTCGCTCACGGGGCGTCTCGGCAGAAAACTCTGAGGAACTGGTTATTACCAAATCCCGCTCCGGGGCCGCCCCAAATTGGAGCAACAGGAGGGAACGGGCCTGACCCCAACCACGCTAACGGGAGCGCTCCCGCTCGCCTTGGGGGCTGCTGCGCTTCTCCCTCGGCGGGTGTTTATGCGTATTAAAACTATACGTAAATAGAACTGAAGTGAAACCCTCACACGGCCAACGCAGCTGGTCTATTTAAACATCTGTCATCAGATCTGCCACCCCTCCCACTTCCCCCCCCCTAAACTGCTTGTTATTGAACTTGGCTTTTGCTTGTATCCGTGCACGAGGTTTCTGGGGCCGGATCCGGCCCCGTCCATGGACGCCCGGCCCCCTGCGCAGCGCTGTGCCGCCGCTGCCCGAGGGGGCCTGGGGCTTTGCCACGGTCTGGATAAATGACAGGGTTTTCTTGCCCTGCTTTTGGCGGTGTCGCTTGTCCAGAATTCGGGGGTGAAACTAAGGGGGAGAAACGAGCGCTTGCGGTTAAGGATCTCGCTGTGCCGTCGTTGAAACTGGAGGTGATGAGACAGGCTTTGGGCGAAGCCGTGTCATCGTGCAACGCCGATCAGCGCAACCCGTGGCTGGCGTGGGGGGCGGCAGCGACGGTCGCCTGGGTGGAGGGGCACCTCCTGGGCTGCCCCCCCCCCCCCCCCCCACGTTTTGGGGGGAAACCAGCACGGGCTGCGAGATGCTGGGTGGTCGCTGGTGGTCCCTGGGCACGGCGAGCGACGACGGAGGGCTTGGTGATGAAACAAACTCTCCCGGACAGCAGGATAAAGGCGTCTCGGTGGCCGGGAGGAAGGAACAGGCTCGAGCGTGTGCTGACTTGGCAGGAGGTGGGGAGGCTGCTCCTCGAGGAGATGTCGAAGTGCCAGCTGCCCAAAGAGGCTGCGTGAGACCCGCCGGAGCCTCGTGAGTCTTGGCCGCTCGTCCTACACGCGCCGGCTCGCTGCTGAGAGCAACCGCGCGCCCAGCAGCGGCCTCAGCTTGGGCTGCAAAAAAAAAAAAAAAAAAAAAAAACAAAAACCCAGCAGCAACCCCAGCTCTGCACCTGTTTGGGCCTGTATCTTGTACCAGCGATGGTCGGGGCTGTCGAACTTCTAGATTTCTTCAAAGAATAATGGTATTCTTGGGGTGGGAGATGTTCTCCGTCCCCTTCCTTGCAGATGCTTGCAGCTGTTGGGAGAACTCTGAGGGAGGTGTTTGGGGAAGTGGCTCGAAGAAACGTGGTAGCGGTGGGTGACTGTAGTGGGAAGGTTCCTCACGAGGGGTCCTTCGAGTGGGAAGGAACCTCAGGAGGTGTCTGGACCAACCCCCTGCTCAAAGCAGGGTCAGCTCTGAAGTCACACTGGGTAATCCAGGGCTCCGCCAAGCCCGCTCCCGAAAACCCGCGAGGGTGGAGGCTGCACAGCTTCCCCGCCAACCTGCTCCACCACCCGCACTGTCCTCGTGGAGGGGTAAAAAAAAAAAAAATAAAGTCCCCTTATATCCAGGGTTACGCTGCCCCATGATTACATGCCCCGGCTTCTGGCGTCCACATGTTGCAGGGGGTTTCTGTAATTTCCCAGCTTGGTGCAGGGGGGGGTTTAGAAGCGGCAGCGGTGACGAGTGAGGCCGTGAATTGATGCAGCGAGACACGCTTTGGCAGCAAGCTGCTGGATGGCTCTCCCAGGGACTTCCTTGGGACTTCTGCAGTGCCCTGAGCTTGCTGAAGTCTTGCTTTCCTCAGCCCTGAAGGAAAAAAAAAACAAAAAACAAAAAAACAAACAACAACAACAAAAAAAAAAAAAGAAAAAAAAAAAGAAACAAAAAACTATTGCTTCTCAACTTTGCTGGGAAAAGCAGAGCAGGACAAGGCCAGGAGAATATTTTGCCATCGGTGTCACGGCAGGGTGGTCACGATCGGGCCCGGGGTTTCCTTCTGCTGGAGGGGAAGCCAACGCCGCGGGGCTGAGGGCTGAGACCTCGCTTGATGGGCTACCGAAACCCAGGCTTGGAGTCACGAGGCTTTGACGAAGCACGAGGAGTCTTTTTGCTTCCCGGTATCAAAGCCCTTCGTAGCACACGCAACTTGGTTCGAGATTTTTTTCGTCTTTTTTCATGTGGAAATCTGAGGTTCTCGCACAGGAGCGAGAATTGGGAACTGGGCTGCAGAAGTAGGGAGATTCTCTGACCGCTGCGGGGGTTTCTCCATCGCTGGCAGTCCGCGGTGTCATCACCATGCTAACACCACGGCAACCAAAAACATCCTCTCCGTTAACTTTTATTTCTCTTATGGCTACAAAGTCTGTTTTTTTTTTATGAGAATATTTTCCCATAGACTGGACAACAAATGTCAGGTTGACCTAAGGGTTGTTCTCTCCTCAATTTCTTTTGGGCTCCCTTTTATCCAACTAGCTGGGTACAAGTTGTTTCAAGCACAATTAGACTATTACAAATCATCTTCTGTGGTGTGGTTTGTTTTTTTTTTTTTTCTTTTTTTTTTTTTTTTTTTTTCCTTCCACAAGGAACACGTTCTCATGCATTGATACACACTCAGGTTTTTGTCTGTCAGACTTTGTGTAATCCTCCTGCTTCTGCAGCTGACCAGCACAAAACTATTTCCGAAGCCTCACTGAGAACAAATGTGCAATCTCTGTCCTGGCAGTGTTTTGGAGGGGAAATCAATCAGGCAACCAAATATCGCAGGTGCCTGGACCTGCAGCTGCTCTGGGCCAGGCTCAGGGGCGGACACGGGTTCGGGTTAGTGGAGCTGGTCCACTGCTGGCCACGCAGACAGGGGATGGACCTGCTGGCCAGCTCGGAGACCAGCTCCTAGACCAGCTTTGGGAGCGAACTGCTCTTTTTGCCCATCCCAGTTGGCAGTGGGGAAGCTCCTAAGCGTTTTCACTTCCATTCTCCGTGCTGCAGCATCCCAGGGCTGTGCCTGGCCGGGTCTTCACGCCGGGGTGGCTTCCTGAAGGATTGCCTGCTGGCTTCTTCCTCTGCTGCCTGGGCGTGTTGGTGGGAAAGCAATTTCCCTCTGCCCAAGAAGACGTGGGGTCCCAAAGCGGGCTCCTGCCGGCGTGCCGTTAAATACGGGGCATCTTCTGCAACTGCACCCTCATCCCAGATGAGGGGAAGGGGTTACGAGGGAGAGGGGCCAGATCTGAACTGAAAACGTGCCCAGGGCCTTCTGGCTATCAGAAGGGAAGATGCTCGCTCTCGTTATTTGCACACAAATATCCTCTTGGCATCTCCTGGATGAATAGATCTTAGCGGATGAAAGCAAAAAGCTGCAGCCAACTGAGCTCAAGGCCGAGCTGGTGGTAACGGGGAGCAGAGCAAAGGAGGAGATGAACGAGAAGGAAAGGAGGAAGTGATTTAAGAAAAGTGAGAATTGGTTTCTTGTGAGGAGGAAGGGAGGGTGAAAGGAGCGGGAACAGAAACAGGGGAAGGGGTCACAAGAAGCACTCAAGGAAACGTCCAGCCGGAAAGAACACAAATAAAAAGTGAGAGAGGGTGAGGGGAAACGTAAGGAAATGGAAACGAAGGTGCCAGCGGCAAAAAGTCATCGACAGAAAAATAAGGGTGTGCAAAACCCACAGGAACCCAGCCCCCAGGTGTGGTTACGGGTGCTTTATCACGAGTGGGTGCCTCCGCGAAACCAAGGGCCGCTTCACGGCTGCTCCCGCGCTTTGGGGTCTCTCCCCCCCCCAGCGCCTGCCAGCGGGCCAGCGCCGGGGGCAGGGTGGCTACCAGCACCACGGCGTGCGGGGGGGGGGCCGGGCTGCCCTCGACGCTCCTGCCAGCAGCTCAGCTCTGCCCCGGGGCAGACGCTCATCTTGCTCCTCTCGTGTCCTCTGCCAAGCGCTCCATCGCTCCGTTGGGTGTTTCCCCGTCAGAACCTGCTCCCTGTCCCCTCCCGGGGGGGGGATCTGGCTGCTGGTGGGACCCGCTGCCCCCGTGGTTCTTTTGGTGGCCAGGGAGCAATGGGCAGGACTGTGAGGTGTAAATACCCACTGCAGTCCAGGTTGGTTTTTTTTTTTTTTTTTTTTTGTTTTGTTTTGTTTTGGGTTTGTTTTTTGTTTGTTTGGGTTTGTTTTTTTTTTTGTTTGTTTGTGTTTTGTTTTTTGGTTTTTTTTTTTTTAAATTTCCACTTAACTTTTGGCATCGTGTTGGAGGATGCAAATGCTCCCTCCGCCCCTGAACGCGGATGCAGCTGCGGTGGCTTCTGATGTGACCGCTGGCTTTCATGGTCTTCTACCAAAGCGAGAGCTGCGCGTTTGGAAAGGCTGGGCAGGCCTCAGCGGGCACGCCGTAAAGCATTTATGGGTTTTTTTTTTAGGTTTTGGTGCGGGGGCCTTCTGAAAAATCTTGTGGTTTCGCCTGGATTTAAAAGCTAATGAATCGCATCAAATCACAGCTGCTCTACGGGGATAAAGCCGCGCTCTTCTGTCGCCGAACCCGCCGGAAAAGCCGGCGCCGGGGACCGCGCTGCGGCTTTCCGTGGAGCTGATGGGGGTTGCAGCGGGGCCGGGGCTGTGTTTCACACTCCCAGCCCATTTCTGAGCTCGCTCGTGCCGCTCGCTTCTTGAAACGGCGCCGAAGCCTGGGCGAGCAGCGGGTGACAGGTTAA